AGTCTGAAATCATAGCGATTGAACACTTCGCCAGAGAAATAAAAAGACTAGGAACACATTCCAGAAAGATAAACATTTTTTCAGACAGTCAGGCGGCACTGGTGTTATCGTCGTGGTTAAATGCAAAAAGCGAATGGAATTGTTTGGAATTTCTATCAGAAGTCAGAGACACCAATGACCTGATTCTGGCATGGGTCCCTGGACATTCGGTACATACAGGCATAGAAGTGCCAAAAAAAGATAAAATATGAATCCTCTAGGCCCCGAACACTACTGTGTCTAACACTATGCCACAAAACAGGATACCACATTGGGTCCTTATTGAGTCCAAATGGGGCAACACCCTAGGCATGAGACACACAAAAAGATTCATATAAAGGAATTACTGGAATGTAACTGAAACAGAAGCAGGATTTTGGTTCGACTCCTGGCAGTGCCCTGGCGCCTAAGAAGGCATAAGCACAGTATACGAATACTGATAGAAGAAATGCTGTGCAGATACTGCCAGGAGACCGCAGAAAACATTCTATGTTTTTGTGAGGGTTTATGTAGGTGCAGATTCTTGTAACTAGGAGAGGAAAAGCAGAAAGCAAGACCCTACACTAAGGAGCCGCTCAACATCTAATAGAGGGAAAGAAAATGTATGGTAAAATAATATCAGTATTCAATATTTAGTCAATATTTAATACAGAGTTGACCCCATTAATGACAAAATTATCAAATTGTTGAATTATTATGAAATTTGATCAATTTTTGATGATTTTAGAAATATTTCTTACTAGAAATGTCTGATTTGAGCAAGAAATACGTTCAAAATTGAATTTTTTGTTGTACACACATATTTCTTGTTTTTTATTGCAATGCAGAGGGAGAGGCAACAAAAAGGTTGACATGTTAGCCAAAGAGGGTGCCAACATGGACTCTCTGGGTCTTGAAAAGAAAGACTCATCTCATTATTTTAATGAAAATCTGTTAATACTGAACGGCAGAATACTTTGCCATTCCTCATCATTGAAATTATTGGCCAATTTGATATTGTGGTCATAGATACGACTTCAGAACGTAATTCCAGTAATTTTGAAAGCTTTTCCATGAGACAGCCACCTCACTTCTGCATGGTGAAGGAGGGAATGATGAAGGATTCCCATATCGACACGTATTGTGAATGTCTGTGGAGAACATGACTGTTTGTGCAAAATAAAAACTTTTGTTCCCAATACTCATTATTAGCTTTTTAATTTTGTTTATTCGTTCTAAATTTATTTTCGTAATTACTCATTTTTCTCGAAGTTCACCACGAACCTCCCCTTAGTCAGGGTAGACAGACCTCCAGGGGATGGTTAGGTAAATAGTATATAACACATAGTATATAGTAAATATAGACCCATCAGTCTATTGCCAATAATGGGTAAACTTCTGGAAAGACTTATGATTGATAGAATCCTTCACCATTTGATGAGTTGTAATCATTTAGCTAAGTCGATGTTAAAGACTATATTGAAAAAGAACTCGGCGATCCAAAAAAAGCAATTGAATGATCTCCTTAGATGTTAAAGGTGCATTCAATGCTGCATGGTGACCATCCATATTGTTCCAACTACGCTCCTTTTCCTGTCCTAGAAATCTATATAATCTGGCCAGAAATTACTTTTCTAACAGAATTGCCAATTTAAGCACAGCTACTATCCAAGTCCAAAAAATGGAAGAAAAAGGTTGCCCTCAAGGATCGTGCTCTGGACCCGGCTTTTGGAGCATAATGTTCGACTCAGTTCTAAAATTGAAATTTCCAACTAATGTAAAACTGGTCGCTTTCGCTGATGATCTGCTCCTAATGACTAGCTCCCGTGACATTGACTATGCCGAATATACAGCTAATAAATGTATGTTCATAGTTGAAAAATGGTCATCTGAAAATAAGATCAACTTCAACCCGAACAGGTAACAACAAAAAGGAGAAATATTAACACTATTAATGTATATCTTGGAGGAACAAAACTAAAGATTGTTAACGAACTTAAATACCTGGGCGTAATATTTGATAGCAAGTTTACCTGGAAGAAACATGTTGATTACATTAGCCAAAAAGCATTGAACTGATTAATATGCTTGCTCGTTCGGCAAAGGTATACTGGGGCCTGGGATCCGAGGCACTTCAAATCATCTATTCTGGATCCATACTACCATTATTGATGTACGCAGCCCCAGTCTGGATTAACCCTGTAGATAATAAGAAAAATCTCAAAAAACTCGAAGGTGTACAAAGAAAAATCGCTCTACGAATAATAAAAGGATATAGGACAATTTCGTATGAAGCAGCTTGTATCATGGCAGGGGTAGCCCCGATCGAACTTAAACTAAGGGAACTAACGGATATCTACTTCACCATAAAAAGGCCACTCAACAAAGCCTTCCATGCACTTATCGTGGAACCCACACTGCCTTTAAATGAATGGCCCCATCCGGCTTATAGAACTCAAGGAATCACAATCAGCAAGACAAGATCGTAATATACACCGATGGGAGCAAAATGAATAATGAGGTTGGAGCAGCCCTAGCCATCTATGGAAAAGACAACAAACTGCAAGAAACAATATAAATTAGACTCGCTAGCTGGTGCTCGACAACCAAGCTGAACTCATTGCTATCCTGAGGATGTTGGGGAAGTGAACAAAAACGTGATAGTGATGACAGACAGCCGCATATCCATCAATAAAATTAAAAATTACAAAGCACGACGCCTGATGGTATCCGACATCAGAAATATGATAAAATCATTGCATGATAATGGCTGGAATATCAGTATTGAAAAGGTACCAGCGCACACAGGGATCCAAGGTAATGAGGAAACCGATGCAGCAGCAAAGGAAGCTACAGAAAACTCTGAACTAGAAACAACAATCACAGTAGTGCCAAAAAGCTACGTCATCTCCATGGCCTCGAAAATGACATTGGCACAATGGGAAGAACGTTGGAGACGTACTGCTAAAGGTCTTCAAACTAAAAAGTTCTTCCCAACGGTAGACTCAAGGATGGCAGTAAAACTGAAACACCACCGTATGCTTACCCAACTTACAAGCAGCCATGGACGAAATCGAGAATATATGTATAGATTCCACATAACACGGGATTCGGAATGCGACTGTCCAGGGAGACCTCAACAAACATGGGACCATATCTTATTCAACTGCCCCATTCAAGAACCATGCCGAAAATCTCTAATAAGGAACGTTGTATGTAAAGGTGGACAATGGCCACCCGACCATCACAGTTTGATTAGAGACCATATTGAAGCCTTAAATTATTTTGCTAGTAAAATTGTATTAAATTAATTGTAAATAATAATTGTATATGGTTATGAATACCTGAAATCACTATGGGATCAGGTATTAAATAAATAAATTTAAAAAAAAAGACCCCCAGGAGTCTGTGGACCACAGTTTGCGAAGCCCTGAAATAGAGTGTAGACACCCTGTATAATTGTACACTTTACCAACCAATATCCAACCAGAATCAGCTTCATTTTTTCGTGCAGCAATAAGCTCTTGCAAGATACAGATACAACCCAGCATCTCTCAAGGGAGCATTCTTGGTCCCATCCTTTACATTTATACTGCTGACCTACCTATACATCCTAACACCATCATCACCACCTGCACGGACAATACTGTAATTTTGTCCTCTTATCTGAATCCTATCCAAGCAACCTCCAACTTTCAAGAAAACCGTGAACATATCAAAGATTGTGCAAAAAGAGGAGGACAAGACTGAATGAATAAAAATGTACTTAGTTTATGTTCACATTGAAAAAACAGTCTTGCCCTCCACTGAACATGATAACAACAAAAAAGATACCGATTCCCATTCAAGTTAAATATTTACTACTGTACCTACACAGAAGACTTGGAATCCCTTTATTTAACAGAAGACTTGTATAACTGGAATTTTTTAGGACAAAATCTGTCTTGTCTGTCAATACTAAACTTGCCTTATGCTGACTTTACAGTAACCAGTTAGGACATATGGAGTGGAACTGGTTTCTGCCAAATCATCCAACATCCAATCCTTCTAATCAAAAGTAAGGCCAACTGTACCAATATTCCATTAACCCCCCCCCCTGAATTATGGAAGTGTTACATTTACTTTGCCATTGAGTTGTCAAGTGGACGACTACCACGGGCTCTTTATATTCTCAAAAAATATCCATTAGATGTCACATGAAATAGGCCCCACAGTGTTAAAAAAATAACACAAAAACAAAATGGAACAAGGAATATCATAGGTATCAAAAATTACATTTTGCTCAACTAACCAGAAATATATTTATTTACAATCTTTTTTTCTGTTTTAAACTCTTTAATACGTAATTCTAAATATGGATTGCTCCTGTATACAGAACTTACTCAAAAGATAGTTCAAAATGAGTATATGTATTAAAAAACACATTTGACATTTCTTTTTAAATATTGTATATATATTTTATCTTAGACAAACACTAATTGGAAAGGTAATTTTTATATGTATTGATTTCCTGTATATATATTTTATTAATTAATAATATTGGCAATAATAATAAGATATATATTTTATCCTCAAATAATGGTGAGCTCTTATATCATTTAAAATTAATTCTTCTTAAATAGTTTTATATTACAAATGAAAATATTTAAATTATTACGTTCTTCAAAATGTTCTGAGTGTGCAAATATTATATATATCCAAATTAATCATTAAATTACAACTGTACAAATATTATACGCTAGACGATTAGATTTGTCATGTCCACTTTAAAGTAAATTCAATAGACACTAAAACCGAAAGAGAAAGCCTTTCTCCGACAAAACTATGTAAGTTAGAAAAAACGTTGAAAATGTAATAGGACAAACCATGGAGTAGGATGTGAGTTAAGGTTTGTTTAAACACACTGGAGCGATCTGTATCTAAGCTTAGTTGTTGTATGCCGAGATCGGCGATGAATAAGTCCACAAAATAAAAGACATTGGTTATCTAAGTTATTTTTCTTAATTATTTAAATATGTGTTTCTATTTAGCCGTTTTATCCCTTAGGCGTTAATAACTGAATCATTCCATTATCACAGTCTGACTTTCCAATGCCTTTGAAGCCAAGGAATAAACCTAAATTTTCTGTACGCAATTTGGCTTTTGAAGATGAAAAAAAATACTAATCAGAGAATCAAATAGAAATTATAAATACCAAATACGAGAACTGAAGATAGCCTTTTAAAAATGAAAATAGAAAGCTGTATACATTACAAATGTTATCTAACTTTTGCAATTTTTTTTTGTTTTTTTGTTTTTTTAATGCATTTTGTGATTTTTTCCTTTTTTATTACTATTATCATTTTTCATTGGAGGAGCTGAGAGAGAACAGTTGATGATGAAAGATGTGAGTGAGGACAATAATAGCGCAGATCACACTCCAATCTGAAAGAGAAATCATTTTAATTAATATTCACTTCAACATTACTTGTAAAAAAGTTTGTTAATGTAGTTTTATTTTGTATATATGTTATAGGCAAAACATTAACTTTTTCGACCCTGATTTTAGGATGGTAAGACGCTTTCCCTGCTTATATTCTTTGTCGCTACGTGACCCCAGCCTGATTTATTTTGCATCGTTCATCGAAATTCCAAGCAAGTTTTCAATAGAAAATAAGCAAATGGTGTGATAAAAACGAAGTTGTTTTAATTGATTTTACATTTTACAAACAGTATTCTTTATATTAATTAATAAAAACATAATAACCAAAAAAATAAAATAAATACTAATTTAGCACAACTCTGTATATGTAGAGTACATACATATACATGAGTATAGAGTTGGAAAAAATACATATAAATAAAGACAAAAAACAAATATATATTTCTGTGAAAAATAAAATTTCTGTGAATGAAAACAATGTAAACTAAAACTGAGAGAATTAAGCAGGCAAGAGGCAAAAAATCGGAAAAGTCACTAGTATAGATGATAGGGCTTCCCCTGGGGGGGGGGGAGCTTGTCGAAAATAGGAATTGCCAAAGAGACGGAGATTTGTGGCAGAATGGTTTTCCAGAAAAATGGTTGTCGCAATTTAGCAAAAGTTAACGAGAGGCCAGATTGTGAACATAAGAAAAGAATTGTTCGCTGATGATGAAGAAAGAAAGGAAGGGTATGGGAGGTGTCTCCTACACATTGTGTACAACCTGTCCAAGAGAAGCTGTGTGTCCAGCTACAGCTCTTTTAAAATAAATCAATAAAAAAATAAATAAATAAAATAAAACATGAAAAGTATTATGTTGCCACCATACCTAAGGAGCGTATAAGCCAAATGAGGCAAATTGCCTCTGGTTCTGGAGAGCCTCCAACTCTCAACTAGTCCCAAAAAGATTAAATATGTAGTAACATACGTAATTTTAGGCTTTTTTATTTAACAAAAACAATTGAGCTTTTATAGATTTACATTTTAATGCATTTTCAAAGCCTTCAGGCTTCCTCTCCAGAACATCTGGGTCCAGAAATGAGTCATTCTGAACTAGGTAAGGCTTCAAAATTACATTACAATGTAGTCTATAACAGCCCAGCTAATTTTGTTCATGAAAAACCCCAACATTCCGCACACACAACAGCCACAATAAAAATATGGAAAAAAATGTTTTAACGTGTCAATGCGGCTGGGTGATTTTTCAGCAGAGCCAATGTATTCCAACCAGTGGGATGGCTGGCCTGCAGTCAAAATGCCTTTTTATTTTTTAATTTGTTGCCTGGGAGGGGGTGAAAATTCAGCTTCCATGTAAAGGCACTAAGGTGTGAAAGATCACTGTAGTAATCACCTCGTAGGATGATTATTGAGTATAGTACAGGATCTTATGAATTGGGATAAGTGATTGGAGCTTAATAGATTTGTGGAATTTTGTGCACCAGAATTTACACTCACGTTACTTAAAAGGTTTGTCACTGAAGATAGCGCTATAGCAAAACACATTTTAGTTGTTAAAAAAACCTATGGATAAAAACAGGCCCAATAAGTGATTCAATGCTGGTTCAGAATGAGTTCATCGACTCGCAGACCAATGCCCAGTATCAAGTCAAACACACCCAGTCAGGCATGTTATTTAAAAGGTTTGCCATTGAAGACAGCACTACGGCAAAACACATTTTAGTTGTTTAAAAAACCCTGGGTAAAGACGGATCCAATAAGTGGCCCAATGCCGGTTCAGCACGAACATTAAATTATATTTATTTAGAAATCGTGAGATGCGGTCTGGTGTGATGTAGGTTTCAGAAAAACATTTTCTTTATCGTGCCAACGTTTCGATCTTTACTGAGATNACACATTTTTTCCCTTCGTCGGCTCTTTTCACCTCAAAGAAGCCGACGCCTTATACAAAAATGTCTTTTCTATACCGTCATCCTTCCCCACCCCTTCAATATCCAACGTATATAAACACAAAATAGCAAAATCTCACTGGCACTCTCGACACGACACGCAAGAATTACACAGAAGACAAACACTTTGAGTTAGTAGAAATACTTTGATTGAATATATAAAAAAGATATATTTTGCATTGTATAAATTCACTTTTCCACATCCACAATGTAATTGTTATATGTAAACATTGTTTGTAAATCCCAGGCCCTGAAGATGATCTCAATAAAAGATCGACATATTGGCACGATAAAAAAAATGTTTTTCTCAAACCTACATCACACCAGACCGCATCTCACGATTTCTAAATAAATATCGATTAGCGGTCACTAATCACCACACATTTAAATTATAGAAACAATTCTTTGAGAACTCAAGGAAATTTTAGAAAATTGTTGTCACACATGAAGTAGATTAAAATAATTAATGATACCAATATGAGAAATAAATATTTTTTGAATATATGTTCTGATTATACTTACATGTCCAGAAGTGGGAATGACATCAAAATTAAGCGACATATGTATAGACTTTTCTGCAAGAAAAAAAACCCACGTTTTATCAATACTGTTCAATAAAGTTTTTAATGAAAGAGAACATTTTATCTAACCTGTCATCCAGGGTTCTGGACAAGTATTCCCTTTCGATGAGGTTTTCTATACGTTTCTTTATAACGACAGGCGAAGGTAAAAACCGACTTTTCAGCTGTTCTGTTACTTCTGTGACAAGGACATTGTGCTGAAAAAGAAAATTGAGAATTGTTTAAGAGTTGCTAAAAATTAAAAATTATCTTTTAATGAAACGCACAGCCATTTTCTTTCTTAGTTTCATGATCCTGACAATTGCAGCTTCGATTTCATGCTTTCTGTCATCATCAACCTTACTCCTTGTCTCCTTGCGTTCAGGTTCTGATTCACCTTTGGCCGCCACCGTCTGAATTTTGACTCTGTTAGAGGAATTTTTTGAATATTAGATTTTGACAGTCATCATATTTCCAAAATTAAAACACCAACTTATTATTATTTACCTGTGCAACTTTGACGAGAATGTATCATTTACGAAGAAGCGATGTGAAGGCTCGATTTCTTTTGTCTTGGGTTCCTTAATAAGCACTCTTTGAGTCGGTTTGCCCATTGCGAGTGACTGAAGAGCTCTTATGAGGTCCTTCGATGGGATTTGCGTTTCTGTCTCCAAATCCTCGTAGGTCAGTTTGTCCCTCTTGTTGAAGAGCATGAGGACGCACATCTGGTAGGTGGATACTTGGAAGATGTGCTTCCTGGGTACTGTGGACACATTTGGCGTGGCGGGAGCACTGGTTTCCTTACCCTCCTCGTCGTCCCGTTTCACGCCATAGAACACAGCATTGAGGTCTGCTGAGCCAAGCTGTGGCTGAAGTGTCAATTGTCGGCCACTATGCTTTCCGAGGTAAAACCTAAATACAACACATAATACTGCTTAGATATCATAATGATCAGTTGTAAATTTTTAGTTGAATTATGAGATTTCTCCATGTTGTCTGATGATGTATCTGAAATTTGGTTGTTACTGATCATTTGAGTCCGTCAGACGCGTTTCAATATTTCGCCATATTCAGCGTGCTTTCAAGCACACCAAGGCTGAATTGTGAAATTTCTTAAGGCCTCATAGATGGCAAGGGGAGAAAGGTGCAAAAGAGAGGAAACAGGATGAAAACACAAGTTGCTAAGCATGGTCAGTTATGCTGACTTGGTTTTGATCTGAACTGTTAGCAATTTGACGTTTGTTGTATAGAAATAGTTTGATGTAGTAGTCAAGTACCGCACCGCACCTGAGACCAAGTTATCTAGTGTCTGGGGTCTACACCGTTGTCCAAGTTTTGTAAAAAGCTGCAACCCGAGGTAGTTCTTGGATGTACCAGAGACCAGAAGTCAGTGTATGTTAAGATGGAGTCAGATGCATGGACTACGAGTCAGCGATAGTCAGAACAGAGTTGAGATGGAGAGTTGGAGACAGTGAGTCAGAGTTAGTGAAAGTTGATTCAGATGCAGAGACCATGAGTGAATTTATCTAGTGTCTAGGGTCTACACCCTCATCCAAAGCCTCATAAAAAGCTGCAACCCGAGGTAGTTCTTGGCTGTACCAGAGACCAGAAGTCAGCATATGTTGAGATGGAGTCAGGTGCAAGGACTATAAGACAGTATTAGTCAGAAACAGAGTTGAAATGGGGAGTTGGAGACAGTGAGTCTTGAGTTAGTGAAGGTTGACTCAGATGCAGAGACCATGAGTCAATTAGAGTTAAAGTGCGAACCTGAGGAGTGAGAGTCAGATAGATGTCATTCAGATTCAGTGACATCAGTCACCCCAAGTTCAAAGTCCAAAGTCTTCCCAAGGAGCTTGTATTACAAGAGGGTCCTGCTGATTACCACCTTCGAGACTTATGGCCTAGCCTGACTTTGTATAAAGACTATTCTGAGCAATAAAAATGATTAGTAATCCAGGACCTGCCACCCCATAAAGCCCCTACTTTTTTTTCCTCTAAGAACTCATTAAGGAAGATAAGCAGCGATAATGCAGAACATGATCGGTTACGACCAAATTTTAATTTATTGTTTTTAAAATGGAGATTTTAATTAATCAGACAATTATTACCTTTTAAAAACATCAAAAGCATTTTGTGGAGCCTGAGGGATGTTGCACTTTGGGGCGTTATTTGTAGGCCAAAACCCAGTAGTTAATACACGAACGCTTAGATCCACTCCATCAAGGTTGGCCTGAAATTTAACATTAAATTCAATTGTACAAACAAATCTTAAAAACAAAAATATTTACGTTGGTCGCTTTGATGTGTTCCTTAAACTCTTCCATAATTGTATTAGAAACTGTCATATCTTTAAACATTCCCTCAAGTTTTGAAGTGAATTGGCACCCACATTCCGTCTGAAATGGAGAAAAAAAAATTAATAATGAATTTTATGATTTGTTATAAAATTTGTCAACCTTTAGTTTTGAGATCATATTTTTCTCATTATCATCGGAAACAGATCTATTTAATAAAAGGCGTTTCGCCAAGTGGTTTTTGTAGTATCTTTCAAAAACATCCTTCTCTTGTAAATACCTAAATAAGACCATGGTTTTATCCAATACTGTTTCAATTTCTTGTTCAGACATCTAAAAGACAAATAAAGATTATTATTTCCAGATTATTTCCAACTACAGGACATTTTTTCAATTATTTAATTGATTTTAATAACTGTTTGCTATTATCAATAGTTTTTAAAAGACCCTTCTACACCGTATCTCATAAAAAATATTTGGAAAATGGATATAATATTAATGTGGTAATAATGGCCTTATGTACTTGCTTATTAGCCAGAGTACATAGTCGAGTGTTCTAATGTAAATGGGAGGAAGGGTATCATGACAAATAGGAGCGGCGACAGTGGGAATCAAACCCACGACTGCGGGGCCAACCACTTTGGCTACCGCAGTCCTCCACATTGACTAGAAGATTGTATAACAGTTATTGACAATCCCTTTTATGTTTGACTTACGCCTTTGACACCCTTTTTCAATTTGTCGTCTATAAAAAGTGAAAGATATTCAGGAGACTTCGAATTGAGGTTCAAAAAATATTCAAAATCTGTAGCAATCATCTGCTTGAATATTTTGTCGTTATTGAACGAATTGTGGAGGAAGTGGTCCAGTCTATCCTTCAGATCTAGAAGATTCTAAAAAACAATTTGAATGGGTTAATTCTTTGTATAAATCATATTAGAAAAAATAAATAAAATTAAAACAAAATAAAAAATAAGAGCCCATACTTGTACAAATAGTATTGCATTGGTAGTTGGCTCTTGTTCTTCAACTAATGTCTTGCCCTGCTCCCTTAGATACAAGCTCACACATTCTGACATCGTCTTGAGCCCATCAAACACCCTCGAGAACAGTTTGTACATGCAGGCCAGGTCGTCTGCTTTCTGGTTTTTCAGCATATGGACCACACCAGAATTTTCCATCTGTGGGGAAAAAAATAAATAAATACAGTTAACTTGGAAAGTCTAAAACATCATGAATAATGTGGGAATATCTTGTTTAATCGATAAGAAAATATTACCTCGACAATTGTCTTCATATGTTTCAATATTAATTCATTTTCAACAACTTTGACAATACGTTCTTCAGTGCTTTCGTCTAGGTAGTGTCTGGCACGTTCTGCCTCTTCTATGATGCGCGCCTCAACTTTCTTTATGTACACTGAAGCACTGTTCTCCCCTAAAAAGTTCTGGCTTTCGATTTTGTAAAATTCGGCAGACTGTTGTAGGAAGGGCTTTTCGAAATCCTCCTCGTATACGGAACGGGAGTTGATGCCGAGAACCATAAGCATCTGGGAAGCGTTCTTTATGGACATCCTGTCCACGACTTCACCCTTCCGCTCCCTCATGACCAGGTCTAACAGCGTGACTCTCAAATGGTCTCGTATACAACCGTACCTGATCACCTGGTCTCTGAATATTACTAAGCCTAAATTGTACACATTGTCGACATCATTCTGAAGAACGTAAACCCTGTCCATGTACATGAGGATGTCCCTGATCATGACCATCGATGTTTGATGGTCGTTCCAGGCCATATTGAGTGTCTGGAGGAAATTATTGTGCAAGGAACGCAAAACATCTTCTCTCACCTAAAAAAAGTTGTTTAAAAACACGCACAAAGATTAAGCACATATATCTCACCTTGGTCTCCAGGTGGTTAGTAACAACCTCTTTGAGTCCTGAGTAGAGGCGTTCGCCATATTTATGCAATACCATTGTATATGCATTTCTGTAAAGTTCCTCGAAACTTAGTCCAGAATTATTTTTTTTCTGTATCTCCTGTATAGCACTCTTTAACAGCCCCCATATGTTTTCCACATATTTTTCGTCCATGGACATCTATAACATCAATATTGCGTTAGTTTTGTATTTCTCGAAAAAATTTTCGATTTCTTGACACAAAAATCGATCCACTAAAAAGGATATAGGTAAAAAGAAAAATGAAAATAATATTCTAACACAGGCAAATAGTTTCACTATGTCCCTGTTCTGAACTAGAGAACATTCAGAAACTTTCTGAATCACATCTCATTTTGAAAGATTTCATGTTTTATTATCATGAAAACAGTCTCAACAACCATAAAATAACTAGCTTTAAAGCACTACCTCCACCTGCAACTCACATAGCTAACTTTTGGTTGGTTCTAAATTGGTGTTAAGAATTTTTCAAATAATTAATTAAGGTTTTTAGTTGAGATGAAAAAAAGTTAATGGCACAAGAGGGATTCGAGGTCACGATAGCTCAGGTGGCAGAGCAGCGGCGTATCTAGCCGAAGGTCGTGGGTTCCAATCCCTCTCGTGCCATTAACTTTTTTTCATCTCAACTAAAAACCTTAATTAATTTTCATGTATTGATTGGTCAGGTGGATCACGAAAGTAGTGAATTAATTTTTCAAATATTTTATTTTTGTATCGACAATAAAAAAAACAAAATTTCATTTTTCCTCGAGCCAGTAAAAACAATTCATTGGATTTGTGACAGAGGTAGATACAGTTCAAAGAAAATACAAGACAAAAATTCAATTGTCAAAAAATGCAAGTGTGAGTGTAGTGAGTGAATAAATTTAAATGTTGGTTAGTGAATAGATTAAGAGTCGTTGTCACTTTAGTTAGTTCAGTTTTGATGGGTGTGCACATTAGTGAATGAAGCACAATGAGTGTTTGTGTAAGTGAGAGTAAGAGTGTGTGCTTATAAGATTGAAATTACACTTGTACTTTTCATTTGTAAAATGAACATTTGTTAACTTTGGTGAACTAAGTGAGCAGTTTTGAATGTAATTAAATGAGCAGGAGTGGGTGAGTCGGTTAATGTGAGTGTGGTTGTTTCATTATGAGTGCAAATGAGTGAGTGAATAAGACTTAGTAAGTGTGAGTGTTTGTTAATGTGAGTGAGAATTTTTGTGCTTTGTGCTTGCAAAAAATTATCTTTTATTTGTTACAAAAACGTTAACTATTAATAAAGAAGCATGATTGTGAGTTTTAGTGAGTGCAGGTGTTTAATATTGTGAGTGTTAGTGAATGAAGCACAATAACTGTGAGCTTAATCCTTAAGTCTTAGCCTTAGTTAATGTGAGTGAGAGTGAGTGTGCTAGCAAGAAGTTATCTTTTAATTGTTAAACATTTATACAATGATTGCAATTGTTAAAGTCATCAACTGGGTTTACTATAATAAATCTCTTGGACAACGTGCTCCCTGATGGTATAGCTAGATGAGTCAGCAATAACCCATTAGTTGATAAAACCACAGCTAGGCAGGTTGGCTATTTTGTCTGTATTCGAAGATAAATAGTAAATTACTGACAACACAAAAGAAAGTTTTATTGATTACACAAAATGATTTGGTTAACTGTGAGTGAGCAATTGTGAAAGTTAGTAAATGAAAAAGCCACCATGACTGTTGGTTATAGAATGACTAAGTGTGATTGTGATTGTGAGTTGTAGTGAGTGTGGATGTTTGTTATTGTAAGTGATAGTGAATGAGGCACAGTAAATGTGAGTGAGAGTGAGCATTTGTGTGTTTGTGTATTTGTAAGAAATTATCTTTTAATAATGTTAAACATCCGTTAGCTATTATAAATTTGTCTTTATACAGTGATTATTTGTCTTAACATATTTGATTCATTACACAAAATGGTTTGGTGAACTGTAAGTGAACAATGTGTGAATGTTAGTAAATGAGAGAATGTGTAAGTTTTACTGAATATGGGTGTTTGCTATTGTGAATGTAAATGAATGAAGCATAGTGAATCTTAATTTGAGTAAGCGTGAAAATTTATGTGTTTAACAAATGTTTTTATTTGTTAAAAAATTGTTAAATATAATTTTTTCTTTATTTGTTGATTTTAATTGTGATAAGGTAAATTATTAAGAACTAGTACAGATAGTACAAAAGACAAGTTTACTTTAATCTTGGTTAAACTACAAAATCCTGCGATAAAATTGTATTATTTAATTCACTACTTTCGTGGTCCGCTTGACCAATTAAGACATGACAATTAATTAAGGTTTTTAGTTGAGATGAAAACTCATAAGGTGGGGTTGAGATGGGGAGTTGATGTCCAAGTGGATCGAGGTCAGGTTAGCTCAGGTGGCAGAGCAGCGGCGTATCTAGCCGAAGGTCGTGGGTTCGAATCCCTCTCGTCCCATTAACTTTTTTTCATCTCAACTAAAAACCTTAATTAATTGTCATATTATTCAATGTTGAACATTAATATGCGTATATATTAGGTATTTAGATAAATAAGCTCATGCATCATGAGAATGTCCCATGAAGTAATTCATTTAGGTTCAAATTTTGATGTTTGGGAAAATACACTAACAAATAAATTAAATAGGAACTTGGATTTATCAAGGGTTATATAAAGGATGTTAATAGTCGCCATAAAGAGGTCAAATTAATTATCAAAGGCATAATCCAGCCATGATGTAAAATACTAGCAAAAAATGGAATCAAGGGGATTTTTAAGTGTTTGGCTCCTTGTCATAAAAATTAGTTTTATTTGACATCACTTTTGAAAGTCATGGCGTTTCACATGAGCAAAAATAGTGAGACTCATCATTTTAGTCTGCTGTTTGAAAACAAAGGTTATAATTTTATTCAATCTATGATCATTTCCATTTGTAATTTAGGTTGACGATAAATTTCAATTCCATAACAATAACAAGAAGAAAATTATATGATTCACACAATTAAAATAACGTTACAGACTAGGCAAAACTAAAAAATCATTTTTGAAAACAATTGTACAACTCCAAATTTGTACATGGTGAGCCAAGCCTACATGTTTTTTTGTTTTTTTAAACTGAGAAACATATGAGTGAATTGGAGGAGGTACCCAAAATGGAAATAACACGACAGTAGAGTGGAGAATAAATAAGCGTTAGCCCCTTACAGGATTCACAGGTGGTATCTGACATTTTTTCTTCTTCTTTAGATCCAAGTGCCACACTCCAATAGTGAAATTGTGAAAGTTCTTCACAGGACTCATCCCAAACACCCGATGATCAAAAAGGGTCGTCCGCACTCCATATAACTCCTATGGAATCTCGGCTCGTGTGGATCCATCATCAACGCCGCCCGAAATTGCCGATCATAATTTGCGGCCGCTTTACATTTCCAAAAATTTAAGATTCGTCCGGAGATACAACACTTCCAAATTTAAGTTAATTTATGTACTTAAAATTTTTTTTGTTAGTTGTTTAAGAGTTTTTAGATGGTGTTTTGTCAAAAGGTGGAAAGGGACCACATGTGGCAAACATGTGTTACTTCAGAGCAGTCTCACACCAACTCATTTTTTCTAAACCATCTCACAAAACGGAACAGGCAGGAAAAGAAAGTTTAAACCCTCGGCTGGGATAGCACATCAGCCTGAGAATATCGAGTCTTAACTCTACTACATAATTGTCCCATACAACATATTTAATTTTGGACATAAAAAAACAAATTATGTAAATTTTAGCGTGCTTGCTATGTGAACGGGCTTTGCATTAGATCAGCAGCCTTTGCCTTTCTAAAATTATTTATTATTTTCCAAATATGAGATTATACCAAAAACTACGTAGCAAAAGAGCAAATGGAGTCACATGTGACAAATATGAATAGTTCAAAAACAATATAATTTTCACCTTGTTTAATAATAAATAATTAGTGATCATGAATTACAGATCAAATCATAGCTTAACTAAGTTATTTTACTTTATTATTATTATTGTATTTTAAGAAACTAAAAACATATTTAAAACATACCTAACAAATAACCATATTTTATTCTATCCTTTCAATAACACGCAAATCCAATTTATGTACAAAAATGAAACAAACAAAAACACAATTATAAAGATTTAATTCAAATTTCATATCATGTACACAATAATATAAATGAATTAATTTTTATGCAAAAAAATCATTAAGTAATAATAAAATAAAGGAATCACCGGTTGGATGTTGTATTCATCTCGTTGGAAAAAACAACGATGCTGTTTCAAAAATATTGAAAAGAATATATATAATTCACGGATATCTTAAACATTACAGGATGTATGTTACTTGTCTCTAAGATAAGATATTATCTGAAAAAGCTTTGTCAAACTGAATAATTAAATGCTTACAGTGATAAATACTAATCAACCTACAAATGCAAATAATTGTATTCAAGTGCCACAACCATTCCAGCTTGTCTATTTACTTGCAAATATATATTTTTTTAAACAAATAAAGTTAAAGAAATCACGATATTATGCAATAGAAATAATACAACCTCCAAAATCAAACAAATCGTGAAATTTCCTCTATGATGAACCCATAATTTGATCCTTACCGACCACCATGGTCTGCCTTTCCTAGCTAGTTTGGGTCTGCCATCACATTTTTCAGCACTTCACCTTTTTCCAGTGTATGTCCACTACGTGAAACACTGACAGACCAAGATAAGCAAGCATGGGCAGACCAAGATAATTAAAGATCAAATTGCAAATAATGACATAATTACTTTTTTAATTAACGATGAATAATCTTCAACCGTAAATATTTACAATGTAAAAATTAATAAAAGAGAAATTTACAAATGGTTATCTATCAATGAGTGATCAATAAACCTGAGTCGTGTCCTGACATTTAACAATGTTGACGTTTATGAAATCCATCTACCAGCAATCTAAAAATTGGTCAAACACACAACATAGAATCAATCGTGCACAGTGAAACATTTATACAAGAACAAGTGTCAAAAAAAATTCAAGTGACTCACTCTCTTTATTAATATCAATTCAAGGTTTTTTTACAAGCTCATTTGAGACAAAATTTTATTTGAAATTGTTTAATCGATTGCAGGAAATTTTAGTTTCAACAGGGTCTGGAAGGTATTTAAGAAGTGTTGTCATTAATTTCACTTTTAGATAAAAATAAAATTTTACTAATATTATTTATAAGGTCTCTCATTTTGAAATCAGCCATGGAAATAACAAAGTAATTAATTGTAATATTTCTCCTCGGGATCTAGACTGAGGAACCTGTAGTTTGGTCACTTCAAATCATCTTGGTCTGCACAATTTCGGATTTTTGTCAGCCACATTTCTGCTATGAGCCATTACCTGTTTTCAGTCAGGGTTATAAGAAAGGTGAGGCATAACAGAAAAATCATTCAACCAAAGATTCTCAGATTCTAGTTAGATGAACCTGTTGATTGGTCATTTCCTACAATTTTTGTTTTGCCTACAATCTCTGTTATGGCTCAAGCCATCATTACTAATGATCAAAAAGACCTAACTACAAAGAAATGACAGACCATATCCTAGTTTATTACAATTTAAAAATTTAAGCTGCCTTTAAATAACAAGCATTTATATGAAAATCTTTACATATTTTAAATTGTCAAGATATTTTATTTTTAATTAAGCTGATTGCACAAGACAAGGAGGTGACGCATGTAATTTTGTCTAATCATTCAAGAGTGTAATTTAAAGAGAACTTAAAGATGGATCATTTCCAATAATTTTAGCCTGTTTAGTCTCACAATTTTGTCAGATTGTTTTACCTTTTAACCATCATCAGATAAGACAGCAGTGTTCCTGCTAGAGATTCTGAGATTTCTTGTTAGATGAACCTGTAGATTGGATATTTACTATCATTGTCATCTCGTTAGTCTCGCAATTTTATCAGACAGGTTTCATCCGTCAAGGACTTTGTCGATTGGTCATTTCCAATCATTTTGGTCAGCTTAGTCTCTGTATTTTATCTCTATATATTTCTCGTTTGTTAGTAAAAATTATAAACAGGGTGAGGCATGACAGAAAATTCCTTCAACCAAAAATTTCTGAGATTTCTTGTTAGAAAAACCTGTAGTTTGTTCATTTCCAATCATCTTGGTTTGTATTGTCTCGCAATTTTGTCAAATCAGTTTTGGTTCTCAGCTATAATCAGTGTTGTTAAGGGTTATTAGCAAGTTGAGGTATGACAGGTCTTTCCATAAAAGATTCTAAGATTTCTAGTTAGGCCAGCCTGTAGATTGATCATTCCCAATCATTTTCATCCAGTCTTGCTATTTCATCAGACTCATTTCATCTGGCAAGTGCTTTATAGATTTGGTCATTTCCAATCATTTTTGTATTGCACACCCTCTCCTTTCGGCTTGAGCCATCATGTGTGATGATCAGAAACGATCAAACTACAAATTAATGACAAGCCATATCCTCGTTTATTACAATCTAACTGCCTTTTAATGGAGGTGTTTTTGCATTTTTATAAAAATCTTGGCATATACTTCAGATGTTTATTATGATGTTTTGGTTCTTTAATTATCCTACTTGTAAGAGGAAAGAAGGTAATGTATTTTGAATTTTTCTAATACTTCTAGAGAGAACTGTTACCAAAACCAATAGTTTAGTCATTGCCAATTATTTTAGCATGTTTGATGGATTGATTATGGATACCGGGAACTGGAGGAGTTTCCAGACCATGATAGAAAAGTCTGCATTATATTAAAAATTTCTAATGTTTATATGTTATTTAATATTTAATTAACATATAGATAACTGATTACTTAATAACAAAAAGTTGCCTCCATTATGTTTAGCCTTGTTTAATCATCCAAGAGTATTAAGAGAAGAGGTAGTTTATACATTTTCAATCATTTTGATTTATTTAGTCTCTCTACGTCATTAGGCATGTTTTGACTCTCAGCCATCACCAGTTTTTGGTCAGCTACAAACAGGAAGAAGCATGACAGAAAATTCCTTCTATCAAAGATTATGAGATGCTTGGTGATTAAGCCTTCAGTTTGATCATTTCCGATCATCTTGGTCTGCTTAGATTCTCCATTTTCCCAGATTGTCCTGGCGCTCAGCTATCATCAGTTTTTGGTCAGCTTTAAACACAAGGGGAGGCATGACAGAAAATTCCTTCTACCAAATAACTGGCTCCCTTGTTTGATAAACTTGTAGTTTGATCATTAACAACCATCCAGTTTATGATCAGTTCTACCAAGATTCTGAGATCTGTTAGAGTTTGATCATTTCCCATCAGTTTGGTCATTAAAAAAAAAGTGGCATTGTTATATTTTAGCCTTGTTTAATCAATCAAGAGTGTACTATGAAGAAAACCTGTAGTTTAGTCATTTCTGATCATTTGGGTATAGTCTCTATGTTATCAGACATGTTTTGGGTCTCAGCTATCATCAGTTTTAGGACAGCTTTAAACACAGAGTGAGGCATGACAGAAAATTCCTTCTGTCAAAGATTCTGAGATTGCTTGTTGATTAAGCCGTCAGTTTAATCATTTCCAATCATTTTGGTCTGCTTAGTTTCTCCATTTTCTCAGATTTGTTCTGGCTCTCAGCCATCAGCAGATTTTGATCAGATTCCAAAACAGGGTGAGGCATGACAAAAAGTCTTCTACCAAGATTCTGAGATCTCTTGGAGTTGGATCATTTCCAATCAACTTGATCTGCATAGTCTCTCAATTTTTAAAAACTGTGGCAATGCTATATTTAGCCTTGTCTAAAGGCTAATGTCTAATCATTCAAGAGTGTATTATGAGGAAAACTTGTAGTTCAGTCATTTCTATTCATTTGGGTCTTTTTAGTCTCCATGTCATCAGATTTGTTTTGACCCACAGCTACCATCAGTTTTAAACACAAGCTGAGACATGACAGAAAATCCTTTCTATCAAAGATTATGAGATTACTTTTTGATTAAGCCTGAAGTTTAGTCATTTCTGATCATTTTGGTCTGCTTAGCCTCTCTACGTCATCAAACATGTTTTGGCTCCAAGCCATCATCAACTTTTGGTCAACTTTCAAACATAGGGTGAGGATGACAGAAAATTCCTTCTATCAAAGATTCAGAGACTGTTTGTTGAATAAACCTATAAGTTGTTCATTTCCAATCGTTTTGATCTGCTTAGTCTCTCTGTCATCTGACAATTTTGGCTTTTAGACATCATCAGTTTTTGATCTGCTATAAACAACACAGAGTGATGCATGTCAGAAAATTCCTTTTATCAAAGATTCTGAGATTGCATGTTGAATAGGCCTGCAGGTTGATCATTTCCAATCATTTTGGTCTGCTTAGTTTCTCCATTTTCTCTGACTTTTTTTGGCTCTCAGCTATCACCAGTTTATGGGCTCACAAACTAGCAGTCAGCAGTTTTTGGTCAGCTTTAAACACAGGATGAGGCATGAGAGAAAATTCTTTCTTCTAAATAGAAAATAGAGCTTTCTTGTTGAAAAACATAGTTTGATTTTTGTCTACCATCATGGTCAGAGTAGCACCTCAATTTTCTCAGACTTGATTCTGCTCTCAGCCATCACCAGTTTTGATAAACGTTATAAGCAGGGTGAGGCATGGCAGAAAATATTCTTGCATGATATTTCAAATTTTCAAGGTTTTTTTAGATTTCAAGGCATTAGATGCGACGTTTTTAGTCTTCCCTAATTATGCAAGAGTGTACTTTTAAGTGATACTTTTAAATTGTGTACTTTTAAATTTTGTAGTTCGTGATTGTCAAATTAGAAACGGACCTTTTTTTAGATCACCGGTGTTTAAATCACGCTCACCCGCTGTCAAACCGGAAGGACTTTCGTGAATGAACGTGCTGTCGAATTTGAAAGCTTTTTCAAGCGCTTTCTTAAGAAACGACGGGCGTTTCGAAATTTTTCTGTCAGTTTTTGAGTCCGTCGATCTACATTCGTTCAAGCTGAATTGTGTCCCGACGAATCAAGGCCTCTGCCCCACCGTCGCCGTATCTGACGATGAGACACGTCTCTAACGCAATTCGAGAGGCCGGAGAACGACAAACTGACAAAACACAAGCGATTTCAAGAGTTGTAAGGACGGAGCTTATTTTCACGCTAATAAATAAGTAAGGGGGTGTAAAAAAGAACACTTACCGGGAAAGCTCTGATCCTCATCTTTCCTTCTTTCTTCGGAAGACCGCTTTTCATCATTTTGCCCGGGACGTTTAGGAATGGGAAATGAAAAGAAAAAAAAACAAAACAGAAAATCGGGAATGCTCGGACCAGGCGTCACAGTCAAAGGGTTCGACTTTGGACGATGCCGGAGCCCTGGGGAGCTCTTTCTTTTCCCGAGAAAAAAAAAGGTCCAAAAACTGAAAATAAAAGGAACAGAAAGGGGGGAAGCGGTTCAGCTGATCAAACAAAAAATGCAAAAACCCGAGACGCCTACATCACAGAAGAGGGTCGCGGCTGTTGGAAGGCGTCGTGGGAAAGTGGAAATGTGTCGGAGCCGTCGCCCTCGGGAGCGGGTCTCGGCGTTTTTCCTCCAATTTTGCCCCGGAGGCCGGATCTTCTTTCTAGTGAACGGACGGGAACTGGACGGGCGATGGGTCCATTTGCCAGGGGTCGGGCCGTCCTCGCTCCTTATCGCCGGTTCGGGGAGGTGACTGGGAATTTTTACGGTCTGGTGTCAAACGGCGTTACATTTGTCGATGGTGGGCCACGAGAAAAACGACCGTCCGATTAAAACTACATTCACGACGAGTTCACAGCTCTCCACGGTCGGCCATTTAACACGATTGCGATAGAAACACGGCTCAAACGGCAACGCGCTATCTACGGACACGTCACGCCGCGGGAGGAAATTCGGCAAAGCCGCCGCCGCGCTTTTCACGTTTTTACAACAAAAGTACTCGAACTACACAACTAGCTGACAGTTGACACTACACGTTTTGACAACATGATTGACATCAACCGACATAAAACTTTCACGTGATATCAATCATAAAAGTGATTCTCAGCAACAAGATAGACTAATTGCACTCTTGGGGCAAGTGAAGTTTAAATCGGAATTCTCACAAACTTTCATGTTGTGACAAATTGTGAGAAACCATCTCATCAACACAATCAAGACGAATCGTTTCACAGTTTTTTTCTATTTCAGAAATCTCACACAAAAATGTCGTACTTCTCACAAGAAGCTACATACTTGTACAAGTATACACGACTGGCATAAATCAAGATGAAAATCAAGCTCAAATATGCAAGACACTTTTACAAGTAGTTTGAATATTTGTGCAACATGGTTATGACCAATTATGGCAAAATCTGTTGACGCTAGTTTGGTCCTGTTGAAATTGTCAAAATCACTAGGTTGAGTAATTGCACATGACTGATATCAATCAAAGCGAAACTATCATGTCACTATAATTTTGCCATTTCAGAAATCTCTCACAAGAAGCTTGACTCGTACGACATGGGTATCACCAATCATGCTGTTCTGTCAAAATTCTCACAAAACTCGCTCTCACAATAAGGTCAACTATTTCTACATTTGTACAACATGGTTGACATATGTCAAGGTTAACTATCATTTCATTGTAGTTTACTTCTTAATGTAATTCTCACAAGTTTTCATGTTGTGAGAAGCCATCTCACCAAATCAATCAAGACGAATCATTGTTCAATAGTGTTGCCATTTCAGAAATCTCACTACCGCTCATAAAAATGCAAGACACTCTCATAACAAAATTGACTATTTGAATTTGTACTTGTAATTGCTGTCATCAACCATGTCGAAATCTGTTGACTCTAGTTTTGTCCTGTCAAAATTCTCACAAAAGCACTATTGGCTCACAACGAGATCAACTCAACATTTGTACAACATAGTTAACATCAATCTAGTCGAAAATATAATTTCACTGTAGTTTCCTTCCTTTAAAAATTCTCACAAGCTTTCATGTTGTGAGAAACTATCTCATCAAATTAATCAAGACAAATCGTTTCACTGTTGTTCTTTTCAGAAATCTCTCAAGCTCACAGAAATACACAAGACACTCTCATAAGAAACTTGACTATCTGTATTTATATGACATGGTTATCATCAATCAGAAATAATATTGATTGTGAATCTTTTGTTGTGAGGGAATGGCTGTTTTTGAGAATCTTGACTAAACAAAAGTAGTCAAAAGTTTATTTTGCCTTGATTGGTGACGACCACCTGATGCAAGTCAAGCTTCTTGTGAGAGTGATTGCATTAAACTTATCTACATGTTATCTTCACCTGTCAATGTCGAGTGGTGATAGATTTGTGTAGCCAATACTTACAGCGATTAAGTCTAGATTTGTTACCTCAAAGAGAAATCTTACAATTCTCCAGTCAATTGAGTCACGACGCAGTGGGAATTGTAATCATACTTTTTTCGTGTGCATGTTTCAATGAAAGAGGTAGGGAATGATAAAAGAAGCAGGAAATAATTGAATACAAAAATATATTTATTTTTAAATATTCATCTTATTTTTAATCTTAGCAAAACTTGATATAGAATACAAAAGTTGAAAAAAAATTCATTGTTATTATAATTTATTGGCATATATTAATATATGTATACTTTAAATACATTTTTTTTAGTATATTTCAAAAGCTATGCTATTAAAATAATATATATTCAACTGTAAAGTGATAATTTACAGACAATAAACAAAATATTATAAGTGACTTTTTGATAGGCTTTCTTTAGCCTTGGTGAAAAAGTTGGACGGATAAAATATCACTCAGAAAAAAAAAATAATTGAACACAAAATAATATTTTGTACAAAAACTAAGGTCTAAATGCCCTAAAATCTTGGTGGTGCTTTTTTCCTTTTAAAAATTATTTATTGCAATTAACTCCACTTAATGAATCCATTAATTAAGAACTGTAGACCCAGTTCGCTGGCACCCACTGGTGTTTTGAACTCAGCTCTTCTAGTGCTTCGATCACTTTTCTGAAAGTGATATCAAAGTCCTCATTCACTATGACGAGGTCGATGTATTTCTCGTATGCCCTTTGGAGCATTGAACTTTCTTCGACAGTCCGTTTGAGATCGTCTTCCTAAAAAAAAATTGCAATCATAATGATAAAGATGTTAAGGCAATAAAAATGATTGTTTGCTTTGTCTTATACAAAAAAAGGTGATGGTATAAAAATGAAAAGACATAAAAATTATGCACATTTACATAAAGTAGATTTATTATTAAATGTGCTTGAGGCAAATATGTCAGGATATTAATAGTTTACACTGTCACGATGTAACGTTATAGAGTTTGCGATGTGATCGGGAGTTCATACAGTGTGCGGTGCAAAAAAAATGGATAGTGAACAACACTCCTAGGACCAGGAACCGTTCAATAAAATTTCTAAGTCCCACAAATAAGAAGTTAGTGCCTAATGGCCCTAGGTCAAAGGCAGACCAAACTCATCCAAGCAGGTCTTGCCTATTAGAAATTAAAAGTTTTGTCTTTTTTTTAAATGAGGGTATTTCAAGTAAAATGTCATATGAACTCCCCAGAGGGCCGGTGTTTTTGCAAAAAAAGGTAGCACACCGTACCAAAACGTGGCATGGCGTCGGGTAGCGTCGCATAGCGTTGCATCGGGTGTGTTCCCAGCTTAAGGGGACCGGTGGCTGCAATTGAAAGAACTCATCAATGGGAGGTCTGAGTCGGGATCGGTTCTCAGTGACCCTGAATCTGGTCCCAACCCCTTTCAAAAATGAGTTTCTTCAATGAAGCGAATAAAAAATATTGGGTTTGTGAATGAGAGGAACGAGCCTGCTACGCCGTGCGACGCAAATCCAAACTCCAATTTTCCATAAAGTTGCATTACCCCTGTGCACATCTACCCGATGCTATGCCACGCTAACCTACCCGACACTCTGCGATCCCCACTGTCCAGATTTTCGTCGGGTCGCATTGAGTACAGTCAAAGACAAAAGAACCGGACACTCATATTTGTATTCAAACTACATGTATTATTGTCGTTATATTAATTACAACATACTTATTTTAATATAAACCAAATTAACTGTGATTAAAAATAATTAGTTTTTATTTAAAAAATTAATTTTAATGATTTGGTAGAAAATTAATCAAAACACCGGAATACGATTTTTTGATATAATGAATTTAACTTATTATTTTAATTTAATATAATTTATTGTACTCGCTTCGGTGGTACATATACTAAAACTGGTTTTGCTCATAAAATTTAATTAACAGTTTATTTCATAGTTTTGCTCATAAAATTACACCATTTTCTAATGTCGGGTAGCATCAGATCAGGACACTCATATTTTTTGTGGTTTATTTCAAACTAAGTACATGTAATTTTGCCGTTATATTAATTACAACATGTTATTTTAATGTAAACCAAATTAAGTTTTTATAAACATTGTTTAATTAGATGGTTAGGAGTAACTTTATTTAAAACAATTAAGTTTAACAAACAATTTATTAGATGGTTGTGCTCATAAAATTTAACTAACAATTTATTACAAGGTTTTGCTCAAAATAGTGCATTAAGAACAAAAGATGCGTTGCGATTGTGATAGTGATTATAATGATAAACGCTGTGGACTGTACGCGACGTGTACTTACGTCGGATAGATGTGCACACCCCACCAAAACGTGGCAAGGCGTCGGGTAGCGTCGCATGGCATAGCATCGGGTAAGTGGCTTTATGCGGAGAACACACTATCCGACAACTCAACGTGACATGACAAAAAGCCATGGCAAATCCAATGTCTAATTTCCCATAAGATTGTATTACCCCCCCACATTACATCTGCTTGATGCCATGCAATGGTACCCTACTCTATGCGGTGCAACAAAGTCCTCCACTGTCCAGATTATTGTTGAGTAGCGTCGAGTACTGTCGAAGTCAAAAGAACCGGACACTCATATTTTTTGTAGTTCATTTCAAGCTATATGTATTTTTGTTGATATGCTTATTATGCAATGCTTATTTCAATGTAAACCAAATTAAACAAGATCCAAAATTCATGAGTTTTTATAAAAGTTATTTAATTATTATGGTTTGGCAGAAAATTTATCAAAATGCCGACATACCACTTATTGATAGAATGAATTTAATTACCAATTATTACATGGTTTTAATTGTAATAATGCATTAAGAGCAAAATAGGCATTGTGATTGTGATACTGATTGGTGATAGACACTATGTGACATCCATGGCATGCTCTTGATAGTCGAACAGATGTGCACACCTTACCATAACAAGACTAGGTGTACGGTAAAGTCCCTGCTTTATTCAGTATACTTCGGTGAGGCGATATTCACACAAAGAGAAGTGCATGAAGAGGCCCTGAGGAAAATGCTTAGTTTTGTTATAAAAAAAGTGCACTTTCCACTGTATGGTCAGTCTGGGTTTTACAATAGACCAATAGACACAATTGGACCCCCCAACAAAAAAAATTTTCTATGAAAAAATATCAATTCATACTCTATGTTCGCAGTGTAATCAGGTGACATGCTGATCCATGCAAGGACAATGACCATTCTTTTCTTTGAGATTTCAGCTTCTACTTGCACAATATCACATTGCAGACAGTACAAATGAGCCCTTAGGCTTACTTTTTAATGAATTAAGCTGCCTAATACCAGCTAGGAAAAATTAATATGAACAAAGCAGTAAACGCGCATATATACACACAAAAAAAAAACTTTTGTAGAAACAAAAACTACTAAATTGAAAAATTACAAAATTCCACACTGGTACAGCAATCAAATCTGTTTAAAAAAAAGTGTAATTCAGAAATTAACAAAATCACACAAAATATTGAACATGTGACCTGAATTATTCCATTTCTCAGCTTGATATGAGGTTGCAATGGTAAACAGTACTCTGTCGATTTTTTTTTACCTTTCTTTTCCAATTTTTGCTGCATTATCAAAGAGTATATTATGCCAAATAAGAAAAAATCTAGCAATAAAAAAATAAATACTTACATTGTGTATTTGTCTAAGTCAGTGAGGAATAAAGTGTGAGATAAACAAAAAATAGAAATAAATAATAGGAAAGCCTTACCTCATAAAGTGAAGCCAGAGATTCTAAAGTCCTCGCACGCCTTGAGCTATAGCGGATTGAACTTTGTCTGTCGAACTAAGTTGGCAATTCAAATCAAAAATCAAATTATAAAACAAAAACAAAACAAAAAACTTAAAACAAAAGACCAAATCAAAACTGTTTTCAAGTTGTTATTTTTAACTATTTACCGCAAGACTTCGATTTGAAGCACCAGTTGACCTCCCAAAGTCATAAAGTTGTTTTAAAAGCTCCATGCCCGGGGCTGCGATAAATATGACATATGGCATGAACTCCGATGAGTTGTGTAGGATTTTTAGAGCCTAGAAATAAGTAAATTAATATGCATCGACTGGACATTCTAACAGATAGGATTCTGCGATATTTACCCCTGGGCTGCAGTCCAAAATGCACATTTTACCCTGGTTTATGACTTCGCGGATTTTATCCAAACTAGTCCCGTACAGGTGTCGGTTGTGCTCTCCGTACTCCAGCATTTGATGTTCCCTGATGTCTTTTTCAATCTGCTCCCTCGAAATGAACCAGTAACTCTGGCCGTTTTCTTCCAGTTCCCTCTGGGGCCTTGAAGTCACTAAAAAAACAAGAAAATATTCAATTGTTAGATTTCCTACTGTCTGCAGGATGAAGATGTAATTTAATTGATCATTTTGATCGGCCTATCCTTACTGGGTTATTCTGTCAGACACTTACACCAATCCTACGGACACAAATGCTAGCACTAAAATACATGACAGCCAGACTAAAAAACAATACTACTACCAAAAGAGAAATTCATAAATGAAAGAAAAACAATAAAAAAATTAATACAGACAACAATGAAACTACTACAAGAAAGATGAAGAAAAAAAGCAAAATGAACATATTTGATGGATTGGAAAAAATAACACATTGAACACTGGAAAACTGAAGAACTGTCACATTAAAAAATAGATAAATAAAAAATGATGGATGGTCATTGAATATGAAGAACAACCAGAACAATAAAAAAACTTACAAGGGGATGACAAGATTAGTGGTTCACGGATTTGGAACCAAACTTTTTTTGGTGATTCTACACTCCAAAATTTTGGACAAGCATCTGCCACGTCTTGTCATTAGACCCTGGTTTTGATAAAAAAAATTTTTTTTTTGGAAGTTGAAATTTTCCATTTTTTAATATTTTTATTTTGCCGTTCTACTTGCTCAAATCAATTAAGTGAATGTCATTTTACAGTATTTTTTTATTTAGATTGTAGTAAAAATATAGTAAAAGCTATCAAAGTTTATCAATAAACAAAAAATGTTAAAAACCAATTATTTTTCAAGTAAACTATGTCATTACTTTTTTCATGAAACTAATATGAAATTGTGTTTTAGCAGTGCAACAAATTTTTATGATGCAGAATATTCTAATTTGGATGATTTAAAGAGATAAACGAACAAAATATTTAGTTTTTTATATTTTAACAAACATTTTGTACGCAAAGTAGGTTAGAAAATGAGCATAACTTGATTTGACTTCATTGCCATGAATCTAGTGCTATAAAACCCTTCGATACCAATTTTCATGGAAATTGGTGTAAATTAATTTTTTGACTGATAATTTCGTCGACTGACATTCCTACTGCAAGCTAGTTCATTTTTCCCAAAAGCTAGTGGACCGATTTTCATAAATGATAATTCGTTTTAAAGAAATTGTCAAGTGCATTTTATAACTGCATCAAACATTAAAATCGGACTATTATTTCCATATAAAAAACTATAATATCTGACAAATAATTTTGCTATTTTGTTTATTTTCTAACAGCAATATTTTTTTAATTTTAATGCTACGTATGTCATTAAAAAGCTATGTCCCTCTTTTTTCAAATGGTCCATTGATGTTAAAATCCTTTTAGCCATTTCTGAATTATAGCCGTTTAAATCATATATTCCAATAATGACTTCTCAAAAAGTGTAAAAAATTTTAGGAGTCAAAAAAATTGAAAATTTTAAATTTAAACAAAAATTTATATTTAGGGATTGCTAGAGGTGCTAAAACAAAATTTCATATTAGTTTCACGAAAAAAAATTTATGACCTAGATTACTTGAAAAATATTTGGTTTTTAAAAATTTTTTGGTTAGTGATAAAATTTGATAGCTTTTACTATGTTTTTATTTCAATTTACATAAACAAATTCTGTAAATTATATATTCACATAGCTTATTTGAGCAAGTAGACTGGCAAAATAATTTTAAAAAAAGGAAAATTTCAACGTAAAAAAATTTATTTTGAGAAACTAGACCTATTCACAAAAAGTGCCACAAGAAATATGTCCAATATTTTGGGGTGTAGAATCACCCCAAAAAGTTTGGATCAAATCGTTCACCAACTTGGTCGTCCCTTTGTTAGACTTAATTTACCAAAAGCACCAACATCATAAAAGAGATCCCACAGCCCCTCCCTGAAATGTGTCTCAGTGAGGATAGGCAGTCCAAAATGATCAGTAATGATCAAATTACAACAAAACATTAATTAATATAATAATAATTCAATGTAACAAATAGAAAGCATTGCACATACTTGGTACGACTGATCCGAATTTATTCGGATCACTGTTGATCAGTCTGTTCTTAAGAGTCCTCCTGCCAACTCCTACCGTCCCGACTAGTGCCAGAGTCCTTCTGTGAAAAGGTGGCATAAGAGCGACCTCCTCATACAGCAATAGCTCTGCCTTGTCAAATTCGTTGTTTGATTTTGACTGGTAAATGATTTTCCTTTTCTTTCTTGAGATCTGTTTTAAAAAAAAATTGATTATAGATACAATTGTATATGTATATTATTTTTTTCTTTTAAATGGAATATTCATATGATGATACCCTTGTTCCGCAGATGCTTATTTTATGTACATAATCTGCTTCAGGTTTAACAAAAGCTTTTCTTCGTTCCTCAAGTTCTTCTGATGGTATCAGCCCTATTTTGCCATCACCACTGACTTTTTTGGCTTGCCACCAATTTGGATCTTTTGTATCAACGATCTATTTAAAAAAATGTTTTTTTCTGTAAATAATGTAAATGATGCAAATAATAACACAACCTACTTGGAGAATTTCTCCATGCTTAAATTCCAGGCCGATCTCCTTGCACGGTAACAGGCTATCCTCATGAGGATCGTAGTCGAAAAGCGCTTTCATAAATGTTTGATTTGACTTCAAGTGATTCTGAATATCGCTGCCTGCGACCACTCTGAAAGTCAAGTTGTCTTTTGCAGCGCAAACTTCTGCTTTGAGCTCTTCAGGCGTGGCTACAGGAGCACCGTTGACCTCAATTATGGCATCACCGGGCTTAAGGAGACCTTGCTTCTCGATTGTACTGCCTGCAAGTATCCTGGCGACTATAAGATTGCCCTGTGGATCAACCTCGACAGTCAAACCCTAAAAGAACAAAAGACAAAATGGTTATTTTCATTTTTAAACTTTAGAAAAAAAAAATTACCAAAGGTTCATTGGGCTTTTTTCTAAGCCCAACAACTCTTATCGTCTGCGTCGTCATTGCCTCGTTGTGCTCCTCTTCAACAAGAGGAAGTTGACTTCCGGTACTCTCCCACACCGAACGACCACTGTTTCTACTACAAACCGCCACGGTATCGTGTGTTTCCAAAAGGGCCTGGAAAATTTTGAATTACTACAAAAATTCCATTTTTAACACTAGTACTGGATGAAATTGTGTCTCAATATTCTTCCAATGTCTGTTTATTTTCTTAAGGGCCGTGAAAAGTAAAAATTATTTTTACAATTGTTATAAAAATTCTGTACTTTAAAAAGATATCGTTGGTTAAAGTACAGTTTATATTTGTCTTAAAAAACCCAATAGAACAAAGAAAGGAGATATAAGGCATCGGTTAATAAAAAAAACATAAAATAGAAAATTTAGACACCAAAAATATAAAATGTGAATATGACCTCATTAGATCCCACAGGTTACATTATATTCAACAATAACTGCTGCACTTATCTGCTGTGTTTTTATAATGAACGACAAAAGGAAGTGACTATACAGGTTGATTAATGACATAAAGATTGACAGGGCATGAATTACTGACTACTTGTTGCACTGATATCAACAGGCTTACTTTGACGTGTGGCTTGTTCAGGATGGCTGCTAGCTCTCGCGCGCTCAGGCTGCTAGAAAGCTTGCAAGAAGAGGAGATGTCTTTGGCGAGCTTTGTATTCCCGGTTGAGACCGGTTCTACGTTTTCAGGGAATGGTGGCTTCTCTAATCTTTCCTGGATCTGAAAAAGAAAAGTTTTGTAAATTATGATTTTTTTTTAATCAGGTTTTTTTTTTCAATTTCAAGTTTTATCAATATTTAGTGCATGAAAAATTGTTTTAGGTATGTTTACATGATATAAACAAATATATTTCCATAATTACCAAGTTAACCGGGTCTTAAAAGAGGCGAATTTTACATGAAATATTCATCTCTTTCTATATTATTTAAACAATTTGTTGAGAATAGATTATAATTTTGCCATTAAAAACAAGAAACAGCTTATTATTTATTGTGATGAAAATGATTTGTCATTACACAAAAATTCAAAGTAAATTTATTCAGATTTTCTAGACTATACTGAGAGGCAAAATGTGGCCATGCTTAATATTTTTAATTAACTCTTAGAAAATCCTCCATTGATTATCATACAACAATTTTTGGTCCTTAATAAAGGATTAGATACAAATAAAAAATAGATAAAATTCCTCCTAAAATAAAATTTCCTATTTATGTTTACAATCAGATTTTATAAGTACATCCTTGAATAGTCAATCTCTTCTTGATTTATCTTAAAGCTTCTTTCTAATGTTCCGGTGGTTTTATTTGTTTTAAAGTTGTACATTTTTAAGTTCCAAGTTTGTTTGAGTGGTGGTTTTAAATGATACAGATTCAGCAGGATTGTTGGATGTTGGGAAAAGTCAAGCGTATGTGGCCAGGGTGCTTAATGTTCCTGGAACAACTGTCCAAAGGGTCTTACATCGCTACCAAGATACTGGAAGTTATTCAAGAAAGTACGGATCAGGTTGCCATCGTATTGCATCTCAGTGAGATGCTAGAGAAGCTAGAAATGTTAATGTCAGTTTAAGGCAAAGACTTAAAAGCTGAATTATATGTAAGAAACCTTCAACTGGTCCAGAACTTCTGACTAGGCACAGAAAGCTCGGTTAAGTTTCATAAGACTTAAGAAATCAGTCTGAGGAATATTGGACTAAAATCTTTTTTTAAGATGAGTCAAGGTTTTGTTTGAGCAATTCTGATGGCCTAGAGAGGGCTTCGAGAAGAATGGGAGAGCGATCTATCCCTGCAACATTTTCACTCAGGAGAAATTATACAGGTGGATGCTGAAGAATATGCTGACCTGATGACATTGAAGCTACTTTGCAAAATTTCTCCACATGATCTGTATGTCCTAACAAGGATAGGCAGAGCAAATGAAGCTACTGGTTAGATTGTACAAATTGTCGATGTGTCAGATGACAATTTTGCTCTTGCAGTAAATAAATTTCTCCTTAACATCTGCGGAGTGGGGTACCTGTAATTTGTTTGTTTACAATTACTACCATCAGCACAAAACTACCACCCAAGGTGGTAAAATGCCAAAATGCATGTGGCAGGTGAAAACAGTAAGGGTACTTTGTGAAATTTCTCTAGGAGTGGGGTGGTCGTTATTCATTTTGGTCCGCCTATCCTCACTGGGTTGGTCTGTCAGACTTGTTTCAGCATCTTCAGTGGATATGGAAAAATCCTTTTGCTCTTCGTCCATAAGCTGTGCTCCTCCAAGTACGATCAGATTAATATTTAGCGTCGGGATTTTATTAGCCTTACTGACAGTTCCTCACTGAAGATGCCACAATACTGAATAATTGAATTAAGGATCACAGCTCTCTTAAAACATTTACTAATGCAGTCTTCTCACCGTATGTTACAGAGGCCAGCCACAATACAGAGCTACAAGCACTACAAACAGAGTGATGTTATCACTGAATTACTGCTATTTCGACTCTCCTGTAGGGATATGCATGGGTTGTGAACATCCACATCCTTCGAGAGCCAGGTTTTTTCACCCCCTCCATGCAAAGGCCACATTGATTCATATTTTGTTCATTAAATCACTTTTAAGAAATTGGAAAAGTTGGTCTATGGAATCTGAATCGTCTATTAGTATGTCAAAGAGGGTTGCAGGACAGAGATATGGTGTCTGTATGCTGGGTTGGACGATGTAGAAAAATGTGTTTTATTGTAATAATCTCATTGCAAGAAAGACAGACTGTGTGGTAGTTCTCTAGCCATTAGATGCCATTAGTGATCGCCTTATCTGCAATTTCATTTCCAGCAATGCCGCAAGAAAACAACCTCAATGTTTCTCTGAGAAAGAGGTTTTAATGCCTTAAATATTTCCTGTACGAGAAGATTATGTATAAAAGTCAATGCTGACAAGGCAGAGAGTGAGCCAGTCCCTAAATATCTGGACTTTGCAGACCCTTTTGGTCAAACATTGAGTAAAAATTCTAAGCACCTGGTTGTTTTAACAAGTGGGGTTTGCCACATGGTAGTGTCCTCATGGTATTTTTTTTAAATTAGCTATACTGAATTAATGCTATTTCATTTATTATGCTATATTTAAGATATATGGCTAGATTGGACAGTGCAGAAGAATGTGTTTTATTGTAACAATCTCATTGCAAGAAAGACAGACCAGGGGTTAGCCATTAGATGACCCTTAGTAATCCTACAATGGCCAATTCTCAATCTTGTGTCACTTCCTCCCTCCAGTTAGTACTAATTGAACTAAGCCAAGGTTTTACTGGGAGTTTTATTTCCCTATGCTTATTTTCACCAACATCGTGCCAGTCTTTTTTCAGAACAAGACGTTTCTGATTTTATATGTAAAATAGTCATGACCTGGAACTTCTTTTACTAGCTGCTCTGAAATGGCTGCTTCTCTTGCTGCCCTATCTGCAATTCATTTCCAGAATGCTGCTGTGACAATGAACCCATAAAAAAACAACCTCAATATTCTGAGAAAATTGTTTTAATGTCACGAATATTTCCTGTGTGAGAAGATTATGTATACAAGTCATTGCTGACAAGGCAGAGAGTGAGTCAGTCCATAAAAACGACCCTAACTATCTGGGCTTCGTAGACCCTGTTGGTCAAACATTGAGCAAAAAATCTAAGCACCCAGTTGATTTAAAAAAAAGGGGGTTTATCAATTGGTAGTATCATGATATTTTTTGATTAACTAAGCTGAATTGAAGTATGCTCAGTATTATGCAAACAAATATGGTAACTCTTGTACATTTTTTATTTTTTACTTTACAAATGTTTTAATATAAATGTGAAAAGCTGTTTCTATTTTTAATTTTTTTTTTCTTTTTCTGTGTAATGTATGAGCTATAGAATAAGTCAAACTTTTTGAACGGAAGCGTACCTAGTATGCTTTCTTTATTTAACAAGAAAATACACACAAATTAAGAAAGGAATTTGTCATTTTTGTAGCATAATAGCTAATGCGATTGACAAATATGAAAAGTAAAAGTTTTTAAGTCTATTTAATCTGTTTATAAACAAATACAGGTATCCAAGGGCAACGCCCACATTCCAGGGGAATCCCGAGTCGAGTCTGTCCCGCTGGGCAGACGCTCAGGTAGCGCGTCCCAGTCTAGCCCTTTGCCTGGGTACCTGTACCCTTTTGTGAACGAGGCCAATTTTAGACTTAGGTAATCCAGGTGAGAAAAGTAGAGATTAACTTCCGATATGTCACTTACCTGATTATCGGTTTGAGTGTCTGTCGACTGGAATGGGTGGGGAAAAGGCGATTCTCGCACTCACCTCGGCCCTTCTGCACAGGCCAATTGGTCCAATTGACAAATCGCTTTCCGCACGCGCCCACGTAGTCAAGAAACAAGGCTGCTTTGGTCAAATTGACATCAGAAAACGGTTGACACGTACGCGCCCTGACGTCACCTAGACAGTTAATGTTGGCCCGTTCGCCGGGGGGCCCGAACGATGAACAGGTCCCCTCCAGATTCCATGTACAGTCCGCTTACAAATGTTGTACGAGTGAAAGTGCCTCGCGACGCTCTCCTCAGGAGTCACAACGAAATTTTATAACGGCTTTGTCTAGTCCAGAGAGTATAGCCCCTTTTACGGTAATGACCTTTAAAGACCTCATCCAAAGAACACGACTTTCCTTGTTTTAATAATAATTAATCAATTGAAAGAGCACTTAGACACATACAGAAGAGTAAGAACATCTACAGAGGTCAACATTGAGAAAGGCTTGCCCAGTTGTTTCAAGATGACCAACTTTCTCAGAAGGATTTGGGAATATCTTCATACAGTCCGTGAACCATCCCACTTATCTGGAGCAAATGTCGATAGATTTAAAAAAACTTCAGTTTGAGCAAAGTGAGATGCATAAAGTTCATTGGCTGTTGCATGTAAGTCCGAAGCAGTGGGGATAAGGATATAGAACCTCAGCAACATGCCCAGATGTAAGACATTCGAAAGTGGTCTATGCTGATAAACGTTGTTTAGTAGTATCCTCTTCACCCTAATTTCAATTTTCAAACTATTTCGCCCAATTGTTTCATGATGACTACTTTTATCAAAATAATTTGGAAGTCTTCATATATGAATATGAGTGTATGGTAACATATTGTGATTACTATTTTCTACTACCCTGCTCGACGATTATGCGGACTTTCAAACAACAGCCGATGATCATAGCTTGTTGAGGTTGTTAAGGCGTATTTTGGAAACGTCTAAAGTTTCCTTTCCTTTTCCAATCACAATTGAACTACCCAGGTAGCACTGAAATGTTACCAGCAAAAGCAGTTACAACGTCTTCGTTCATACTCATAAAGCATATTTTAACACAATTTTATTTAGAGCATATGTTGATGGATTTCACTCAACTCTAGCCGACTAATCCATGTCTAACCCAAAAAGTTTCCTTTCTTCCTTTTCTTTATCTCATAAATTAAACCACTGTAATGGCAGCTGAAGCACACTGAAGCTTTCCAACAACGTCAAGTTTATAACGTCTTCATTTATGAATATAAGTATGTGGTATCGATTTAATAAAAAGTTAAGATCATCCGTCTACAACCTTCCCCCAGGTTTTTTGCCTAATTCAATTTTTATGTAGTAGACCGTACAATCAATAAAGTGCATTAAAAGTAAACTGCTCAATACTAGTGAGAACCTCAACATTGGTGACCCCGACGCGATCTG